AAAAAAAAAAAAAAAAAAAAAAAGAATTCCCAAAGTCCATTTGTAGGGTGCTTGGTAGGGCGAGCTTGGAGGGCCTGACCAAAGTCCTGCCTTGTAAGGGACACTCTGGAGGAGGAGCAGGTGCTAGGATGCATAAGGGGCTCACACCAGTCCCTGAATCTGTCGAGCTCTGGAAGAGGCATCCCATGCCTGGCTCCCCACAGGTAAGTACCCCACAGGAGAATCCATGAAGAGCCTGTGGTCCACACAGCCCTCTGTCGGGTTGTTCAGTGCGCTAGAGAGTTCAGCGGTGTAGCCAGAGTCGGATTCCTGGGAAGCTTTGGATACGCCATGTGATGTACTGCTGGCTCTTTCTCACCTTCTGATGAGCTTCTCGCCTTCCTCCTCAGGCCACTCGCTCTGGGGGGACCCTGGTGCTGGTGGGGCTGGGTGCTGAGATGACCAGCGTGCCCCTGGTGCACGCGGCCATCCGCGAGGTGGACATCAAGGGCGTGTTTCGATACTGCAACACGTGAGTATGCCGGGTGAGCCGGGTGGCTGGGCGCCAGCAGGGCCAGGCAGGCCCCACGTGGCTCCACGGCCCGCGTCTCTGCCTGTTTGCTCACGGGGGCACTCCCTGTCCACACTGACAGCGCTCGATATGATAGGGACCCGGGCAGAGGGAGCGGCGGCAGGGAGGGTTTCTGCAGCGCACTTTCCCGCATCGCTGCCGCTCATCCCCTGGGCCGGAAGTGAGCGGACCTTCGTTCTCCCTTTGAAGAGAACAAGGAAAAGCGGAAATCCAGGTCCCTTCCTCCCATCCCTCAGCCCAAGCCCATCCTGGGGAACAAGAAGGTCTCGAGTCACCCCACTGCTGTGCAACTCCACGCTGTCCCTGCTCGGGCGCCCGGTCGGGGACATCATCCTGCAGAAGTGTCCGTCCTCGGAGTCTGTCACGCCAGTTCCCTCACCACGGGTGCAGCCTGGCCGCCTCCTGAGCCTTCTGCCTTTCCCAGGGCCTCCAGGGTTCACCCTGTGCTTTGATGCCAAAGCAATGCGAGGCTTCAGGGGAGACACCGAGAAAGGGGTGGGAGGGGCAAGCAGTTGGGAACAGTTGCTGCGAGGCGTGATCTATTACAGAAAAACTTACTACAGTAAGAGCACCTGCCAGGAGCCCCTCAGAACCCTCTCCTCCGCTCTGGTCACACTCATCCCATCGTCTTTGCCGCTGCCTGAGCAGCTCCGGAGTCCTCTTTCCTGAGTGTTGTACTGTTGCAGCTGCCTCAGAGTCCCGAATCAGTTCACAATATTTCCCTTTTATGACCATTTTGACTTTGGGGAAGAGCCTGGTGTGGCGCAGTGTCAGATCCCGAATAAGGTGAGTGTAGATACAGCGTGATGCTCTGCGAGCTGCCCTCCCATCGGATGGGGCTCAGCAGTCGCATTCACCGTGTTTTTGATCACACCTTATAAAGACACTGAGGAGGCCGGGTGTGTAATCCCAGCACTCGGAAGGCTGAGGCAGGAGGATCGCTGTGAGTTCGAGACCAGCCTGGGCTACATAGTGAGTTCTAGGTCAGTCTCAACTACATAGTGAGACCCTGTCTCAAAAAAACAAAACAAATCAAAAAAAAGACACTGAGGAAAGGGAACTTCCAGACCTGCTCCAGGAAGTGGCAAGAACAGTGGGATAGTGTGTTCAAAGTGATTTTGGGGGGACACATGGCGGGGTGTCTTTTACCATCATAATTTTTTTTTGTACCGGGGATCGAACTCGGGTCCTCGCGCTTATGAGGTAGGCAGTGGAACCACTGAGTTACATCCCCAGCCCCAATAAGTTTTTAAAATATAAACATCACTGTTTTGATCACACCTCGTATGTCTGCAAATTGCAAGCCATTAGGTCAGTTTCTCTGTCCTTGGTCTATAAGATTGGTCTTGCAGAAGCACGGGGCTGAAAACAAACATGGCCACGCTGTTCTTGTTCGGGGAGCTGGCTCCTTTCTTCCCGAAGGCTGAACGCAGTGCTTGTGATCTTTTACAGGTGGCCAATGGCGATTTCAATGCTGGCATCCAAGTCTGTGAACGTGAAGCCCTTAGTCACCCATCGGTTTCCCCTGGAGAAAGCTCTGGAGGCCTTTGAAACGTCCAGAAAGGGAGTGGGGTTGAAAGTCATGCTCAAGTGCGACCCCAGTGACCAGGATCCCTGAGCAGTGGGGCCGCCCCTCCCCGACCCCGGGGCTCAGCAGTTGGGCAGGAGCCGTGTCGGGGTGAGGCTGAACTTTCACAGGCTGGGTGTTGGCTCAGGCTCAGTGCTTGCCTGGCAGGCACGATGCTCTGGGGTTCAGCCCCAGTCCTAGCACATGAAAAATAAATAAAAATGAGAAAAAAACGTAAATAGTGAATGTGATCCATTGCCATCCGAGAGCCTTACGGAGGGGTGGGCGTGCCTTAATGACGCGAGCGAGGAGGGACGGCTGTGGTGTGCTGGGTCCCCTCTGCCTGGGGGGCTGAGTGATGAAGAGAGAGAGCGGCCAATGCCTGGGGTGAGGTGTCGGCAGGCGTAGTCACAGCACCCTGCTCTAGCCGATCAAGAAGAATCAGAAAAGGGCCTGACTCCTGGGCCCGGGATAACTTTTAGCTCGATCAGAAGGACTAAAACCTAAATCCTGCGTGGGATCCACACTAAATCCAGCTTGCATCCCGGAAATGCGAGGGCCCTTCTGAACCCACGTGAAGGTGGCTTTTGAACTCCTAGAAGCCCCTCCCAGGATGACTCAGCCCCCCAGGATAGGGTCCCCTGTGCTAGGCAACCAAAGACTTCATCCTGAGGCCAGCAGAGAGACCTGAGGGTTTCTTCAGCTCTGCCCACCCCACAGAATTAGCATCCTCCGATGCTCAGGGAGCACTGTTCAGCAGTTCTGCCCCATCCTGGTTACTGGACACTGAAAACTTACCCCTTCTCTACGCCAGTTAAGACTCTTAGTCACTGGGCACGGTGTACCTATAATCTCAGCAACCTGGGAGGCCGAGGCAGGAGGTTTGCAAGTTCAACGGCAGCCTGGGCAAATTTAGCATCATTCTATCTAAAAATAATAATTTGAAAAAGGGCTGAGTCGTAGAGTGTTTTTGTTGTTTTGGTTTTTGGGATACAGTTTTGCTATGTAGTTCAGTCTGGCCTTGAATTTATTGTGTAGCACAGGCTGGCCTCGAACTCATGGTGATCCTCCTGCCTCAGCCTCCTGAGTACAGGTGTAAGACCTAAAGCCTCACTTCCACTCTGAGGAGCGTGAGCAGCAGAAAGGGCCTTCATGATTCTGAGTCCTATAGCCCAATGATGGCTCCGGATGCAAGACCCAGGGCCTTACTTTGGGAGCCTTGAACAGCCCAAAGGGCCTCCAAGATGCTGAACCTATAGCTCAGCGAGGCTTCGGGAGCTCAACGAGCAGCGAGAGTCACCCAGGAAGGAACACACAGGCTCGTTGGTAAACAGACCTTTATTAGTCTGGCCAGATGGCGCTCCCAGAACTGAGCAGCTCAGAGAGGCCCAGCATGGGAGGTTTTTTAAAGGCAAGGGAAGAGGATTACAAGCACAGCAAGTGGGCCAGGGGTCAGGGGGCCGGTTTTCTGCCATCTGTCTAAAGGAGTCAGCTATACGGTGCACCTGGCCTTTCATCTCCAGACCTCAGGCTGTTCTGTTCTAACGAGGCCTTGAGTCACTCTCTTGTTTGTCTGTACCGGCTTCCATACACTCTGCTTTAATCTTATCTTGGAGCTGGGTAGAAACAAATGTGTGCTGCTATGTGCTGGCTAACTAGGGGTTACACAGCGGTTAGGGTCCCACACAGGGATTACAGGTGTGCCCATCATATTCTGTGCGTCTCAGGTTCTTGCAAAAGAGAAAAAGGACAGGCTCTTGGTACTTCACTCTCTGTTGGAGGAGATCTCTGAACTTGTCTTCTATTAATCATGAGGTTTTTCTGTGTAAGCTTTGGATGAAGATCACAGCACAGCCTTTGTGGTTTGGGGGTAATGAATCAAGAATGAGGGTACAGTAGCTGCCGTGTAACCTGTGCCACAGCCCTCGACCCCTCACTGGAGCTGCGGGTGGGGAGTGTGCCCACTGGGACGTGGGTTTCTCACGCATGTGCAGGCCTGGCGGGTGCCCAGAGTTCCAGCTCCTCCATCGTAGATCCTGGTGCGCCCAGGACTCCTGCTGCCGTGTCTGCTGTCTAAGGAGCAGTGGACTCTGTCTGTCCGGGTTCTGGAGGAAAGAATCCCAGGGCTTCTTTGAGGTTATACATTCTGGGCTAAATCTAATTGCATTGACTGCTGGAAGTTTCACACCGGTCCTGTGTGACCCTCACAGCAGGCCACTTACCTGACATTTATATTATAAATAAAAAAACAGAAATGAAGTGATTTGGCCGAGGTTGCGCTTCACTCACTGAGGAGGCGAAGGCCCTGAGGCTTTGGTCCATGAGACCCAGCTCCTTGTGCTCCCTTCTCTATCCTGCTTATTTGGGGCCTCACTTGCCACTTGACAGCCCTCAAAACTCTCCTTCCACCTGGCGTGGTGGCACAGGCTTGTGATCTCAGCACTCCGGGAGGCTAAGGCAGGAGGATTGCAAGTTCAAGCCCAGCCTGGGCAATTTACTGAATTAATGAGACTGTCTCAAAAAAACATTTTTTTGTTTTTTGTTTTTATTTCTGTTTTGTGAGACAGGGTCTCACTATATAGTTGAGACTGCCCTGGAACTCACTGTGTAGCCTAGGCTGGTCTTGAACTCACAGCAATCCTCCTGACTCAGCCTCCTGAGTGCTGGTATTATAGGCGTGTGCCACCACACCTGTTGAAAAAAACATTTTTTTAAAGGTGAGGATGTAGTTCAGTGCAAAGGTCCTGGGTTTAATCCCCAGTAGTTAAGAAAAAGAAAAAACACCCTCCTTCTAGTTTGATGATGTCAAAGATCGCTTTAAGTGGAACAAGAAAGGCTTCCTTCTGAATAGAAGATAGAAAAACTGGCGAGGGGCGGAGTTCATCGTGTGAAGTCCTCAAGGAGCCACTGTCCTCCTGATTGTGGCAGGATAGAAAGAGCCACTGAATAGGAAGAGGCTTTGGGAGCTGCAGAAGGGACACTAGGAAAGGAAGGGCCACCAGGACAAAGCTGTCACTTTCTCACAGCTGGGCTGGACTTGCTCTTCTGAGCCAAAGTCTTGGTGCCACAGGTTTCCATCTGGGCGGTATTCCTGATCTTGACAGGAGCTTAAGGCCTTTGAAAGCAGCACCGGGTGAGGGGGGTCTCCGGTGCCAACCCGGGCCCCTCCCCAAGCTCCCAACCTGCTGTTCCCCACAAGGGAGGGGGAGGCTGTGCAGGGTGGAGGAGACCCTGCTGCACTGGGGACCCCTCTGTACTCCGACCCAGAGGGAAGGCGCTGCAGGATGCCCAGGAGCTCACTGCTCACCACCAACCCACAGCAGGCTCCATCAGTGTTGATGAATCAGTCCCGGAACTACCAATCGGAATTTCCCTTCAGCTCCCCGAGGGGAGGCCTGGTGGCCTCTGTGTGCTCTGGCACCAGTTACCTTTCAGTCAACACCGAGGACCCCACCCTGGCCCGGCACTCCCCCGCTCGTGGGAGGGGTGCAGTACGGGCCTGAGCGCTGGGGAGAGGGACACTGCGCCTCCTGGGCTCGGCCTCCGCTGTCCCCTTCCATCCTCCCACCCCCCAGCCTGCATGGGCTCTGGAGGAGCTTTGGCACAGTCATTGCCATAGCAACGCTGCCCAGCAAGACCCGCAGCTCTGCCCCTAGCTTTGCCTCTCTCCCCCAGAATCCGGGCTGAGCCAGAAACTGAGAAACCCCCGCACCAGCCACTTGCACACACAGAGGTCAACGCTAACTGAAGGCCACTCTTGGCGGTGGAGGGCTGTTCCCATCACCCAGTCCACCCTGGGGTCCCCTATCTGCTTTCCCCTGTGCAGCACAAAGATAGGCGAGAGGCAGAGGGGCTCACCCGCCTGGAACTGGGTCCGCAAAGCAGGGTCCAGCCTGGTCTGCTCGGGCGGGGCCCACGGTGCATCGCGGGGAGCCCTGCTTCAGGCCCAGTACTGCTGAGGCAGGGTGGGCAGCTGCTCCCACCCCCATGCGCCTGGGCCCCAGCCCTCCCCTGGGGGAGTCCCAGGAGGCTCTGGGATTCAGCTGTTTGCTGTTCCCCAGGTCCCCGTGATAGCGAAGTCCTTTGTCACACACTGTCAGAAAATAAACAGAGGCAGATAAGTGGAAAGGAGTCAGCGTGGTCACTCCCAGCAGTGCTGTGATGGCAGGCAAGGTGCTTCCCTCCAGCTCTGCCCCCGCGTCTCTGGAAAATGTGTGCGTGGACTTACAAAACACTGGACATGTGCTTTACTTACTTCTTTCGTTTTCACCTATAAGAATGTAAATACAATCATGATTATTAAATAATTCCCATTATTAAGCCAAATAAAACTAATAATTCCTTCATATCATCTAATAACCAATCATTTTCCCCCAATTATCTTAAAAACTTTTACCTTTTTACCCTTGGTTTGCTGAAATTGAGATTTAAACAGCTGGGCATGTTGGTGCATGTCTACACCCCAGCATTTGGGTGGCTGAGGCAGGAGGATTGCTATGAGTTAGAGGCCAGCCTGAGCTACACAGCAAGACCTTGTCTCAAAAATTAAAAAAAAAAAAAAGGTTTAAACAAATACCTTGCATGTGGTTAATATATCTCCTTTAAGCTATGATAGCTCTTTTGTCCATTGTTTAAATGCCATTATTATGTTGAAGAAACTGTCCTGGTCTACATACTGTTTTGTAAACATGCCTGCTTTAATTTATAAATTACTAAATTTCTGTGTCCACAGTGTCCACAGTTACCATCATTTTAAATCACACTGTCACTTTAAATCCCCATATCCCATTGTATGGATACATGACCATTTACAAGGCAAATCATACTAGGTTGGTCATTTAGATCATTTACAGGGTACTGTTCTTCTGATAAAGTTGTGGAGACAGTCTTTGTCTATACGCTTTTTGTGCTTCTGACTTCTTTCCTGATGTTATGTTTTAGAGTGAAAACAGCTGGGTTAAAGAGCACACATGTTCAGTTTATTTGTTTATGTATTTACTTTTGGCGGGGCCAGGTCACGACCCCAGAGCCACATTCCTGCTAGGCAAGCACTCTAGCCCTGAGCCATGCCCTACCTGTGAGCATACCCAGTCTCAGTGTGACCCAGCTAGACAAGAACACAAGGTATTGACCCCCAGACTGAGGAGAATCTCTAGGAATGCCCCAGGCCATGTACGGCAGAGGACTCAGGTTGGAGGTGGCTGGGGCTGCCAAGGAAGGGGCTACGGG